ATATATCTTCTAAATTAAAAGCTCTTAAGATTCTCATTGTTGAGCCTTTTCTGGTCTATCATATTCTGAATAGTCTTCCAAGCCAATTTAATCAGTTGAAGGTTGCTTATAATGCTCAAAGAGATAAATGGGATTTAAATGACCTTATTGCTGCATGTGCCCAAAAAGAGTATAGGTTGAAGCGTGAAAATGTCGAAACTGTACAATTAGCTTTTCAGCCACCACAGAACAAGGGGTCTTCTCATAACCATAAGTCTAAGTTCCACAAGGGCAACAAGTCACACTACAATCAGTAGAATAAAAATTTTGAAGATCATACTTCTGGTGGTCCCAAAGGAACTATAAAGAAAAATGATCAATGCAAGTTCTGCAAGAAGAAGGGTCACTGGAAAAAAGATTGTTTTAAGTTTAAGACTTGGTTGGATAAGAAGAAGAGTTCCGCAAGTTTTCACAAGCAAATGGAGGCCAAGTGAGAATGAAATAAACCTGTGCATTGGGAATCGAATTCAAGTGAATGTTGAATTCATATGAGTAGTAAAGTTGTCTTTGGAGTCTATTTTCTCTGTTGTTTTAGAGAATACTATTTTTGTTCCCACAATGAGATGAAATTTAATTTCTATATCGAAACTTGATGCTTCTAGTTTTTTCTTTAATTTTGGTAATGGAATGGTTGCATTATTTTATGATTCTCGTTTGATTAGAAATGACATCTTATGTGATGATTCGTATAAATTGTTTCTCGCTTCTTTTGGTGAAGTCTCTTGTGTTGCAAATGGGTTAAAGAAAATGTCTCTAATTCATGAATCATCTTCCATGTTGTGGCATAAGGGTTAGGTCACATTTCAAAGGATAGGATCGAGAAATTGGTTAAAGTTGAGATACTTTCCTCTCCCGACTTCTCCAATTTTGACATTTGTGTGGATTGTATAAGAGAAAAGTTGACTAAATCCACTATAAAAGGTTCCACTAGGAGTGATGGCATTTTGGACTTAATACATACTGTTATTAGTACACCTTTACCTTCCACCATATGTGGAAACAAATATTTTATAACTTTTATTGATAATTTCTCGAGATATGGATGTGTTTACTTGATTAATGATAAATCTCATGCATTTGAGAAATTCAAGATTTTCAAAATGAAAGTAGAGAAACAAAGTATGAAAAGCATCAAAGTTGTAAGATCTGATCGGAGTGGTGAGTACTATGGGAAGTATGATGAGTCTAGTCAAAACATAAGTGATTTTGCGAAGTTTTTACAAGGTTGTGGCATAGTGTCTCAATATACCATGCCAGGAACACCTGAACAGAATGACGTTTCTGAAAGACGTAATCGGACTTTTAAAGACATGGTCAAGAGCATGATGAAGAACAAATTTACCAGAATCTTTATAGGGTGAAGCTTTGAGAACTGCTATGTATATTTTGAATAGAGTTCCGAGTAAAGCTGTTGCAAAGACGTTTTTCGAGTTGTGGACAAGACGTAAGCCAAGTTTGGCTCATTTTAGAGTTTGGGGATGTCCAGCTGATGTGAGAATTTATAATCCATTTGAGAAGAAATTAGACCCAATATCCACTCCTTGTTACTTTATTGGATACCCAGACAAATCAAAATGATATAAATTCTATCGTTCAAACCGTGGCACCAGAATTGTTGAGTCAATCATTGCTAAATTTTTGGAAAATGATTTTGGTGATAGTACGAGAAATTTTATTTATCTTTTCCTGTATGTTGATGACATTTTATTTGCTAGTAGTGACTTGGGTTTACTTCATGATACAAAGAAGATGTTATCTACTAATTTTGAGATGAAAGATCTTGGAGAAACTACTTATATACTTAGCATTGAAATACATCGTGATAGAAATCATAGCGTGTTGGGATTTTCTCAGAAGGCTTATATACGACGTGTTCTAAAAAGGTTCAATATGCATAAATGTACACCTGGTGATGTACTTATCGTAAAAGGGGATAAATTTAACAAAGCTCAATGTCCAAGAAATGAGCTAGAAAGAGAATTTATGGAGATGATTCCATATGCTAGTGTTGTGGAGAGTTTGATGTATGCTCAAATTTGTACTAGACCGGATATAGCTTATGCAGTAACTTTTTTCGGTAGGTTTCAGTCAAATCCACGGCAAGAGCATTAGAAAACAACTAAGAAAGTTATGATATACTTAAAGAAAACTTGAAGTTACATGTTCACTTTCTAGCGTTCAAATCACATTGATGTGGTAGGCTACTCAGATTCTGATTTTACTGGATGTCAAGATGATTTGAAATCAACCTCAGGTTATATTTTCATGTTGGCTGGTGGTGCTATCTCTTGAAAAAGTGTTAAGCGGACTCTAGTTGCAGCTTCTACTATCCAGGTTGAATTTGTGGCATGTTATAGAGCTACAATTCAAGCTATTTGGTTAAGAAATTTTATTTCTGGGCTGAAAGTTGTTGACTGCATATCGAGGCAAATCACTATTTGTTGTGATAATAGCGTAGCAGTGTTCTTTTCAAGAAACAATAAAAGCTCTAGTGGATCGAAACACATTGACATCAAATGTTTGGTGGTCAGAGACAGAGTCAATGAAGGGTAGACAAAGATAGAGCATATTAATACAGAGGCGATGATTGCATATCCTTTGACTAAAGGACTCGCTCCTAAAGTTTTTAAGGTACATGTTGCTAATATGGGCATTGTAGAAACTTTTGATTTTTTGGTTAGTATGAGTTATTTATGTAAGAGAACTACGATTTGGCTTGATCCCTTCACGGGGTACGTAAGCAACCCATATGTTCTTTGGCTACAGCCCCTTCCAATAATAAAATATATCTTCTCCTACCCATAAATTATTTTAAGCATACATTTGACTAATATTTTTTTTTTCTGATCTCGAGTTATGACAGTTAAAGACATTAGATGAGTCTCTCTTAGAGTCCGTTTGATAGCCTAGAAAATGGGTGGAAAAGGAAAATATTTTCTAACTTTAGTCAATTAAGGGTGTTTGATAGCACAAATTTTCCTGACAAAATGTTTTCCATCTTTTTCTAGGTATAATCATTTGATGCACAAAAACTTGATTTTGTTTTCCCACCTATTTGGTGGGAAACATTTTTTTTTTTTTTTTTTTGCAATGAGAACAAATTTTAGATACAATGGAAAAAAAATTTCATTTTTATTGACAACTTCCATACAAAATAAAGTCAAACGAATGATATTCGGTATGTTAAATTTATTTTTTCAAATTTTTTTTTTTTACAATTGGAACAAATTTTAGACCCAATGGTAGAAAAATTATCACTTTAATGGACAAATTCCATAAAAAAGAAGCCAAATGGACACCAAACTTTCAACATTTTCCGTGAAAAATTATACCAATCAAATACAATTAATTACAATTCGCAGTAAAACATTTTCTAGGAAAATCAATTTTCTGTAAAATATTTTCTTTCCACCCATTTTCCACCCTTGCAATCAAACGGACCCTTAGAGACATGTAGCTTCATTTTTGATTAGAAGTATTTTGAGGACCGATATGAATTAGCACAATTTTTTTATCACATTTGGTGCTAAGTTCATATTGCATATTACCACATTGGTTGGAGGATGGGGATCCATGTCGATAAGGATGTTGGCATTTCTAGTTGTGGAGTGGTCTTACATCGTTTGATTGGTGTAATGACTTCCATGTTCGATGCTAACGTTCTTGTTAGACCGGATCATGTTGTGTAAGGTGTTATCATTGCAACTATACTTGTATGGCCACCTATGTAGTCTAACCTGGAGATTAAAAGTTATGTTCTATAGCAATCAAATGTTTACCCAAGTGGGAGAATATTAGAGTAATTCTATTATGTGAACTTCCATTTGATTTCAAATTTTACGAGTTAGATGCATGGTTTGCAATGATACTGTGATTATGCTCAATATATTAGTGATCACTTGGGCCGTTGTGTACCTTACGGGCTACATTATTATATAACATGGACCGAAATTATATAAACCCTAATTAGGGTTAGAGACGATAATGGGCCAACTTTATGTTTTCCTATATAACGGCTAGGTCCCCTCTCCTTTCCATATGGTATTGATGTAAGTGTGTTTTGCACACTTATTTAGGTCACAAAACATGGAAAATTGTTGATGTATATGTTGAAATATGACTTAATTTGATATAATTTGTGTTTGTAGGATTACATTGATGGATGGAATAAAGAGTATGAAAAAACGAACGAAAAATAACCAAAATGGAAGAACATGAAACTTCGAGAACCAAAATGCAATGATTCAGAAGATGACTCAAATGGTGAATCAAGCATGGAATTGAGATAAGTAACGCATTGTGATATCATGGGATGTTAGAAGAAGAAGGATGAGAAGGAATCAAGGCCAAAAGGTGGATGAAACAAACTTGGGGACCAAAGTAATCAAAGGAAAAATAATTTCTACCATACAGTCGTATGGTAGAAAGTCCATACAGTAGCCCAAGCACCAACATGAGATGAACAGTGAAATTTTTTTTATAATCATGCTGTCGCATGGGTTTATACCATGCAGTCGCATGGTTCATTCTATTCGCGAATTTTATGATTTTTTATTTGAATCAAACACTTATGGTAATGCATATAAGACTTCTTTATAACCCTAATCTCGTCCAAAAAGAGGGGGATGCGCATTATCTGAGAGAAAAAAAACACATTGGATAGGTAACAAGAAGGC